TTCAATATAAAAAGAATTTAAAAAGATATATATTTTAATTCACACTTTCTTCCCTTCCATGTGAACATACCAAAACTTAATGAAGCTACATTCAATCAAGATTCTGAGCACTTATCTAAAGATACATTTATTTGCTTTACAAGGTAGAATTAGATTGAGGTTCTATTATTTAATACATTTTTAATATTTTAATAATTTAAAGGACTTTTTCTGCACTTATATAAATTTATTTTAATATTCCTCATACAAATTTATAAGACTTCCTAAATTATTTATGCATACCAAAAATAAAAGCCACTAAATATGTAGTTCATTATATAAACTCTTACTAGACTTATTTCATTAACTTCATAATATTTTATTTTTATAAAATAAATTGCTTTTAATTGTAACTACTGTCTTTTTTTCCTTTAATTTTAAATAGTAGATAGACAATGATGTTAATGAATGCATATTATACATGTTTTAATTTATTTACTCTTCAGCTACACGAATATTTATAAAATCACTATGTAAATATCTTATAATCACTATGTAAAACATATTTAAACAAACCTTTACAACAATAGCAGTTTTTTTACATGTAACATAATAAGTCCTATATGAGTTCATAAAATTATATCTAATTTGAAATAAATTATGATTTATGTTTTAACTTAATAGGTAATGCAAAATTGAATATTATATTCTATATTAATGTTGCAAAACCACAAACAGATACATTAAAAAAAATATTTGAAATAGGTATAATAGGTACATATGTATATTTGCAAATAATATAAAAGTGTGAGTGATGTTTGTAATATAATTTAAAGTTTTTTTAAAAAAACACTAATTTAATCTACTCATACCCGAGTTTTTGAAATTAGAATTTAAAATATACATATATATATATAATACATGGTATATCCATTTCTTACTACATTTTAAGAAGGATATCAAAAAATTGCTTATTTTTAAAAATTTTAATAGTGCGACATCTAGTTTTTCTTGTCTTTAATTCAGTCATTATTGAGTCGACTTGTCCGGTTTACACGACGATTTAGTACTCTGGAAAATAAATATAAAGATTTATTAATAAATGAAGATGTTACGAATTGGCTAGTTAGAAACATTGTTAATGTAATTCTTTTTTATTTCAGGTTTAGAACTCTTTAGTAACAAAAAGTTTATTGTATAATAAGTACATTCATATGTCCTATGTTTTTGTGGATTGGCAAGAAATCTAAAACTCTTGTTGAACCTTACTGGAAAATAATTTTCGGTAACAGATTTATAAAGACTTTCGTTGTAGACTTAGTCAACAACAAAGCTATGATTGCAATGCAAATTGATAAACCCAGAATAGTATCAATTAATATATTTAAGCTATAATAGTCTTAATTATTATATAACCTTGATAAGATTGCATTTACCATATGTTTTCTTTTTATATAATTATAATATAATATTGACTTGATAAATTTCTTTTAGAAAGAGAATTTAATTTTTTAATCCCATATTTCTATGTATGTACATATAAGTGTTATATCAATATTTCTATTGTTCTAATGTAGATATGTAGTTTGGTGTAAATGTATCAAAACAAGTCAGAGTTCAAGTAAATTATAAGTTTATTGTAGAATTCAAAATATGATTTTCTATATTAAAGATAAGTAATGAACTGTCTACCAAATTCTTTTTTTATTTGCATTACCTATCATTTTGAGGTTTCTCACCCCACTAAGCTTTACTGAGAAGAAACCTGACTACGCAAAAACAATATTGGATTCAATAAGAATATTATACGGATATTGTCTTACATTTACGATTCTTAGAAATCCTTTAATTTACCAAAGCATATTACCTAAAGGTCAAAATATCTGGTCACAGCATGATTCGTAACCTTTTATCAAATTTAAGATATAAACCTGTAACATTCTCCAAAAAAAAAGATACACTAGAATTTTTAAAACTTATTTAGCCTTCAGCTGTTTTACAATTTCACATGAATAAATTATTAAGAAATATTATTCTTATTCAACCAAAATGATATTTTTAATGACATAATTTTATAAACATATGTGAATTAGGATTTCAATCATATGATTTACATAATATTAGAATTTATTACAAGAAAACAGCGTGAGATCTCCCTTCATTTATCTTCTCAAGAGATAATGGAATAGCAGAAAAGAGTTTTGACTGTACTTTTTACAATTTACACGTTTTCGAGAAAAGAGTTATAATCTTAGACTTCTTATAATCATAAAAAAAGATGGTTACTTAGCTTAAATATATTAAAATCTATGTGATATACCTATATTAACAAATATAACAAAAAATTAACAATTAAATTATTTATTACTTTATAAATATATTTTGATAAGTTTTAAATATGAACATACCTCATCGAATAGCAGTAAAATAAAGGCAAAAGTGGTCTTTTTTAAATAATACAAACTTATGAACGTCTGTTGAATGACACATGGAAATTATTTTCAGCGAAGCCATTTTGTAAAAAGACTAGACTCTGATGCGAGAAAAAAAGTCGCGCCACTTTTGCCTTAAAAAAAACATGATAACTTTGTTTCTAAACAAAGTGTATTTATTTACAATGAAAATGTACATGGTCTGTGGAATTTGATTCCTAGATTGTTCTATCTAGTTACCTATGATGCGGCAAACGACACGCTTCTGTGAACAAATGAACAAAAACAGTGAGTATTATTTGAATAGTGTTTACACCCACGTAATTTATATTATATCAAGTTCATTGAAAAAATTTCAATATTAAATTATTTTTAACATAGGAAAAAATTATCAAGCTAAGATAAATAGGAGAAAACAGTTATAAGGTACAGATTTTATCTTCAAATATGTTGGCCGTTACGATTGGATTTGAAATTAACATTTTTAATTATATTCCGATGTCATACTAACAATAACATCTAAGATAGAGTTAAACATGGATCGTATGGCGGTTTCATATATTTATATGATGCTTTGTCATATATATACGCATATTTTAATTATGTGCAAGGTTGTTGAAATAACAGCACGAGCTTTAGACGGAAGTTGGAAAAATTATGTATGACACAAGTAGGTACATACTTTATATACCTTTGATCACGAGCAGACGAGATGAAAATTAATTTCCACGCTAGGAAATTAAGAATTCTTTGGCTGAAGATGACAAATAACAAGAAAAACTAGCAGACATTTTCATCTCGTCTGTTGCAAATTAACCAAAACGTCGGGAGTATGTTGTATAAAACAGAAAATATTACTTTTATTCATAAAGATAATTATTAGTACATAGTAGGCCAATATTTTTAAGTATTTGTTCTCTCGTCATAGTTAAATTCCTTAATAACATAGTATCATTAAACTACAAACTGAAAGTTTCTAATTTGTCTCTCGTAAATATTAACGCGATAGTTTATATAATATGAAATACTGAAAATTCCTCGTATGTAGTGGCAATTCAAACATGGAGTAAGGTATTGGCAGAAATTACGTTCCGTTTCTTATAAGACCTGTCAATCGTCATTGATTTAGTATTAGATGTAGCATTAAACTATCAAGTGTTCAATTTAGGGCAAACATTTTAAAATTTACTAAATGTATAGCTGACCAGACTAACAGATTTTGGATTTTATTATAGCAAATTATTATTTTTAGGTCGAACGAATTCAAAAGTATCCTATGTCCGTCTCTTGATTCCAAACTCCCCACAAATTTCCAACCAAATCCGTACAGCCGTTCTTTAGTTATGAATAGTAACACAACTTTTTATATATGCTAGTATATAACTAGCTTTCCGCCCGCAGCTTTGCCCGCGTGGACTTCGGTTATATCGCGTTTCCAAGAGAACCTTTCAAAAGTCTGGCATAAAAACTATCCTATGTTCTTTCTCAAGGTCAGCTCCATCTCTGTACCAAATTTCATTAAAATCAGTTCAGTAGTTTAGGCGTGAAAGCGTAACAGACAGACAGACAGAGTTACTTTCGCATTTATAATATTAGTAGGGATACAGACGTAACTTACTTCTCGGTACGCTCTTGAGGGTTGATTTTGATATGCTGTCACTGTCTTCTGACTCGGAGCAAACTTGAAAACTCGTTTCTGTTAAAAATATATAAAAACTAAAATAAGTTCAATGGTGAAAGTGAATTTTACCTACTTATAGTTTAACTATTGACGGAAACATTAAGAAATGCCGACGTTTTGATTATAACTTTAATTTACGTTTTTTGAATGCAAAAAGTTCACAAAAGAGATGTTCTGTTTTTAATCTTTACGTATCGTATTTTTTTTTATAATGGTATATACGAAATTTAACAAATATAAGTATGAATTTTTTTGTTGAACCATTTTATTATACTGTAGTAGTTGTAACGTATATTTTAAATTGATTGGTTTCATAAATATTAATAAGTGGTACATTCATTATATTAGTTTGTTATTATATTTTATCTTGTTTCGTTGTTCTCACTACCTGTATCATATCTGTGTTTGATGTGTCTCGGCACGTCATTGTTTTCAGCGTGACCAAACGTTCGAAAGCCGACAGCCTATTGCTTAAGGACTTATCTCGTATAACTCTGAAATAATATAGCTATAGTTTAGGACAAAATTATTAAAATACATACTTAAATATAGAGAGAGAAAGAATCGTTTGAATGTTTCAAATAAAAGTGTTGAATTCTAGAGTTTTCGTGAAAAAGAAATCCGTCTTAGAACTTGGTCGTACAAATATTATTTTTTCATTACGCTAATATATCAGTATAGGTCCACAGTAAACATCTTAGATTGAATATAAAAAAAAAACAAATGCAACATTTATTATCAAATCTTTTTATAAAAAAATCCATATTTAGGTATGATATTTGTATTAATTTATAATATTATTATTTATAATTTATAATATTACTCACCATGTTTACTATTATTTCTAACATGTATCGGAGCGCTGTATATTCTGTTCTGAGCGTTCATGGAATTCTCTTTATCATTCGCTAGGTTACTGTGTGATGTGTGGTGTTGCCATTTCCAGATTTGTCGACCGTTATTGAGTCGCGGTATCCCGTTAAGTTGACATTACTGAAAAACATATTCGATTAAGTTTCAAACTATCAATTCCTTTATACGTTACTTGGGTTATTCGCTCTGGTTACTTCATGTTTGTAGATACAGATATACATACTGCTTACGGTTTTAAAGTAAAACTCCTTTACGCACGCTTGACCTGGGAGTAAGCTGGTGAATGCGTTACGAAAGGGTTACGAAAAGTGTGATCGAACGAGGCGAACGACAGTGAGAGGGAGATGTAAGTAAGTGAAGATAGACAGATAGAGTGTGTTACGGTTGTATATTATTGTAGGGCCAAGGAAAAGAGCCGTGCGTGCGCACATTTTCTTTCTCGCTTAATTTCATAGCTAGTGCATGAAATATATATACATACTTTTTACTTTGAAGTAAAAACTTTATTAAAAATGCTTAAATTCAGTTAGATTCTTGGACATGTAAGACTTACCGTTGCCTCTTAACTAGAATATAAACACAGCAGATAAGACAGACAGCTAGGAGAATTGAGCTTAAGACTATCACCAACATGTTGATGTCGAAGATTTCCGACGGAGGACCAACTTCACCTGTAAAATAATAAAAAGGGTCATTAAATAAAAAATTTGGAACTATTTTTTGTGTCTCTCTAAAATCATGACTTTCAATTTTTAGACTCAAACATACGGTATGTTTTATTCTATACAATCCCTTTTAATATTATAAATGCGAAAGTAACTCTGTCTGTCTGTCTGTTACGTTTTCACGCCTAAGCCACTGAACTGATTTTAATGAAATTTGGTACACAGATAGAGTTGACCTTGAGAAAGAACATAGGATAGTTTTTTACCCAGACCTTTGAAAAGTTCTCTTGAAACCGCGATATAACCAAACTCCACGCGGGCGAAAATTGTTATATAATAAGTAACGCTCCTCTTTGATTCACTAAAGTACCCATAAATTATTTTTATAAAGATGTAGTCTTGTATCGAGTCTTTCTATTGCTCGTGAACATTTGTAACAGTCAGAGCTCTATAAATTCGGTATCGTGATTTATTTTATAATCACATTGTTACATTCTGTGAGGTATCAATCATCGTTGTATTTTAGTATCACACTAAAAACCTTTAGAAATTTGTAAGAACTATTAAATTGTTCGTTTGTAATTTGTATTTTTTTAAGTTATTCATTCTTCTGAACGTAATAATACAGTTATATCACACATTAAATTGCTAACTCACTGCCATCCTCGTTCTTAGTCGCGTAGTTGTAAACGGTGGTGACGCTCCCCGCCTCGTTGGTGGCTGTGACACGTAACACGTACCAGGTGCCGGCGGACAGTCCTGATAGAGCGAACGAGCCTCGGTACTGGTAGAGGTGACCCGTGTATGACTGACGAGGAAACCTTGGGAATATAGTGTTGTAGCAGGGAATATATGTTAGATGTGGCAATAAATAAATAGTTTTGTGTATAGGCAAAATAGTTTCGTAGGAATATTGTATAGGTCATGATAGTATATTTGATTGAAAAGTGAGTAAAGAAAAAATTAAGTTTAAACGTAAATATAAATATTAATTGAAATAAGTTATTTTTAAAATTAGGCATCATATGTGACGTTTTTGTCAGACATGTATGAATAAACAAGTGAGATATTGGCTTAAAAATAATTCATTTTTTTTGTTAATCCTTCACTAATTTGCTACTTCTACGATTATAATAAAATTATTCACGCATATCATCACAGGTGTATAGTTTTATATATCCATAATTTATATTGCAAAGGTTATATAATGTCCAAGTTATTAAAAGAAAGAAATAGCATTACACCATTGTCACGGGCAAATAATTGCTATAAATGACAGTTTTTGTACAGTTAATATTCCTTATATTCTTTATTATTCAAAGCACAACTAAGTACATCCATAAATTTTAAGAATCTTATATCAAAACACAGTCTTATTAAATCGCTATAATCAGCGCTCGTTTTCTATCAAACGTCATTTATATAAATCATTTTAATACTAGTATGTAACATTACCAATATATTGATAGGCCTCATCCAGCTCCTCGCTCCAAGAGCCCGGTGTCCTAGCTCCAACGTTCGGAGCTCACATCCCGCGTCATCTCAACCAGCGGCCTGAATGAACACGTGGGAACAGTTGCTCCAGAACCACTCCGTTGACGTAGGAGCGATGGGAGCTAAAAGATTAAGATACGAATATTAATGTAGCGTCCTCGACCTACCAGAGACCACTGCTGAGCAAGGCATCTTATTAAAGGAAAGTACCTACATATGACTCGAAAAAAATCACATTGGTACTTGCCAAGATCGAACCCGTGCCCTACACGAGAGATGGGCCTTTAAGCACTAGGCCACCAATGACTTATTATTGTATGGTTATTAGTATTATAGCAAAAAAAAGGATGATTAAAATATGACCACATTTTGCAAGAGTGATTATATGTAATGTGATTAAATGTTTGATGAAATTATACATAATATGAGAATATATGTGTATATGGAAATCGACGTCATGTATGTATTAAGTATGCTTACGTCCGCCCAACGTGCTAACATCCAAATACGCTGGTTGTGATGTACCAACTTTGTTAGTAGCTGTGATCCTCAAAGAATATTTCGTGTCACATTTAAGACCAGTCAGCGCATGTTTTTGAACTCCAGAGAGGTTTGATAATTTATTAGGTACTTTGTTTGGTGACCACACTTCTTGCCACGGACCGCTTGCTTCTTTCCATGTTAGGCTATAAGCTGAAAAATGTAGGATTAGATAATGACTATCATTATCAATTATTTGTCCATTTTATTATTATATTAAACAGGATAAAATAACAGCTAACATTCTTATTATTTCGCATATAGTACGATAGTCGAGGCAAGTTTATTTTTGAATCTTTTTCAGTTATATCTACGAGTACTTTCATAGACTTAGAAGTTCAATTATTGAGTTGGATGCTAAAATTTAAATTCTCTTATCAACACATATTTAATTTCATTTCCATACTTCACAGACATGAATATATCGCTATTTTATCCTATAGTGATTCTTAAATCCCTACTAATAAGTAATATTATAAATGCGAAAGTAACTCTGTCTGTCTGTATATCTATTACGCTTTCACGCGTAAACCACAAAACTGATTTTAATGAAATTTGGTACAGAGATAGAGTTGATCTTGAGAAGGAACATAGGATAGTTTTTATCCCAGACTTTTGGAAGGTTCTCTTGGAAACTCGATATACCGAACTCCACGCGGGCGTAGCTGCGGGCGAAAAGCTAGTGTGTTCACAAACCAACTTACTAATTTTCTGGTTCGAGCTACGGTTACTGATGCTATTATAAGGTTGTTCCCATTCAACTAATATCGAGTCTTTGTATTGCGTGGCTCGTAGTGTTGGTGCTTCGGGCAGCGGTAGAACTACTACGGTGTACTCCACTGAATCAGAACCATACAGATTCTTTGCAAGACATGTGTAGTTGCCGCTCAGGGATTGGTCTATGTCTGGAAATCATAACAAAAAAATAATTATTAATTACAAAATACATGAACTGAATACAGGTTTTTGGGTGCCCATTAAGTAATACAAGTCTAAGTATAATATGTATATGTAGATACAATAGTTTTTAATTCCGTATACAAGAATGTTCGACAAGCGATAATCAAGTTACCTAAAGGTGTTGTGTTTTGAAGTATGTTGTTATCCCAAAAAATATAGGAATTTTGGAAGGTTTGAGATTGAATTAAATGTACGGAAAATTCGCTTTGTTTGGTTTTAACTTCAAAGGCACTTCATTAATTAATCGTCATTACTCTATTAAACAATAAATGGGCCTAAAAATATAAAATTATTTGTATAATCTTCTATACACCACTTACTGTTAATCAGCAAGCTGTCGTCATGATTCCTCGTGAATCTCGGATGATGTGTTATTATATTATGTTTGTGGTACCACACAGTGCGAGGTGGTGGTACTCCGACACATTGACACACGAGTAGTAAGGATGAACCGACTCCCACTGATATGGTGCCACCTAGTGATGCGACTCCGGCCACAACTGGGAACAAATAATAGTAAGAGAAATTCAGAACATTCCACAACTAATGACATCTAAGATTTTCGCGTATATTCATTTAAATAATGAATGAACATTATTCCTGTATTCATTTATTATTTAAATATTAAAAGGGTAACCATTGTAGTAATATACCTAAAGAAGTAATGTAAGACGTGCCTTAGGATTTTTTGTTTAAAAATATTAAAATTTTTGAATTTTTACACATTCATTTCGACAATTTTTCGATATCTATATACCTATCTTGATTATGGTTAGGGGAGCGGGGGGCCAGTTGTTACAGGGGTAAGAAGTTACACGCATTTTTTACCGGGATTTTTAACTCTTTGGTAGACGTAAGTGGACTCATTTGTTTTCTTATAACATCGTGCGTTGCAAAAAAACAATCAGCGACCCGCCAAGCGGCAAACTGTTAGGTTATGTGCACGTGTCTCGATTTCCATCAAGTTCGTGACAAAATCTTTTACGAAATTTTTGATTCCTGCTGTCTATATTTATTATTCTCTAAATTCTTTTCGCCTCGAACGTTCATAATGTATCGAGTTTTAATTTGTAATAGCGTTTTATTCTGCTATTGATATCCATTAATGGCGGCTTTAATTTTAATTAAAAAACACACCATGGGGCAGGTTGTTACAGTTTTTCGGGGTAGGTTGTTACATGTAACAACTTGCCTCAGATCTTTATTACCGTTCATCTCATTGACTATCATTTAGAAATTACTGCGCTGTACTTAAAATTTAGAATAAATGGAAAGTGAAAAAATGAAATCATATAAATGACATCATACAGGCAATCGAAACAGCAACCAATCTATTACCTGACACTATTAACAATATTACTGTTTCACCTTCTCCAAATCCAGCTTGTGCGCAAGATATAGAATGTTTAACAACATAACCGAGTGCAGATTCGTCAAGTTTTAAAAATAAAATTGAATTAGCGAGACCAAGTCCATATGGTATACAAAGTACATTTGAAAATTTTTCGCCTTCAAAGATAAGGTCCTTTCCCAAGGCAGAAGCTCGAAAACAATCCATCCATAACCGTCGTAACCGTAAGTCCGCTGTATTAACCGATAAACCAAAATAACTAAAATAAACGATATTTAAGATTTAAGAAAGTTCCTGCCAAAGTTATGTGATTATTACTGTTAAAAAGTTGGAAAATTACGATATAGATATTATAATTGCTCATAAATGTTATAAGACTGATCAAAATAGTTTTTTTTATTCATAACGCTTTGAAATAATAAAAAATAAATGATTTATTATTGTTCATTTTGTTTATTTACCTACTGTAACATCGTGCCCCGAAGCTGTAACAACTAGCCCCAAGTCAGGGGCAAGTTGTTGCAATCGACTTATTTCATAAATTCTCTATTTTGGGAAAAATTACGTAAATTTTAATATTTTTCCAATTGTATTCTACTAGCTGAATTGACACACTAATGGTAAAAGCAATCAAATGTATACATTTTTTGGTAGCTTTTGTGATATTAATAATTATCTAAAAATTGTAACAACGTGCCCCCCGCTCCCCTATACTTACATATGTACATACTGTCCAAAAGTTTGCAAACACACCTATCTTTAAAACAAATGAAGGCCGAGTAATAGCGGTAACAATAATCTCAAGTTTTACAACTTTTACGACTGTTTACACAAACGCAAAAAGGATTATTATACCACATATATCATATTTAACGAATTCCTTAATTTTGACGAAACCGGTTTTTTATGGCTTAATCTGTCACCAACTTAATTTAGGAAAAGATGTGGTTTTATTAGTATTGGGTCGTTTTAACGTCTTCATACTCTATATAGTCGCCCGTGAATATTAGCACGTGAAAGTTGTGATATTAACATTGTCTATATTCGAAATATATCAGCTACTGCTCTGATCGTATATTTTCTTTTGAAAATGGCAAAACCCAAGCAAATAACACTTGAAAACGAAGCGCTATTTGCACTAAACGAGGAAGGATAGAGTGAACGTATATATTCTACATATACATCGGTATATGTGTACCTCTATTAGCGGGTGTATGGGAGGCTCTCCTACTAGGCGCGCCCTCGCCAGCCGCGGTACTTCCAGTCACCCACACTTCATACGATCTTCCGCTCGTCAACTCCTTGATCTCAGCTATGGTCCGAGAAGGATCCACACGACTCGTTAGAGGTGGACCAGGGCTGTGCAAAAGTTTGACTTTAAAATAATAATTACCTTGACGAAGGAGAAAACAAGATAAACTGTACATGAATTTGCAGTTTTTCTTTTCGAAACCGGTTACAATGTAAACTTTTAATAATATATACGGTGTGATTATTTTAAAACTTTGAAGGGTAATAGACTATTTCACTGCTAGTTCAGTAATAGGATCTTAATCTCATATTATTTTATCTATAGGTAGTATATGACAGTCGATTGAAATATGTAATTAATAACATTGTTAGCAACTTTTGGTAACACTCAACAAGTTGTCAATCAATACGAACAATGAAGGTGGCACTTCACTTGGCGTTTATTTATTGTGTTCGGTTAAATAAGACCATGTGAATGTAATGTGTGGATTATTCGTCTTCATTTGACATATTTGCACAAATAAGACACATACACAAATAAGTGAAAACGCGTAACGACGTGTTGTTGGCATGCCAAGTGTGGATGTCGTGTTTGCGCTATTTGGACTACGTACAAATATTTGGACAAATGCGGCGAATACGCAACGCCAAGTGAAGTAGCATCTTAAGACTAATTAAAGTATTTATGTATATAAGCAGTAAATTTACCCTGAAGTTGGTTTCACATAAACAGTATAATATAATAGTTCTCCGTTACAATGTTCCGGCTTCTTCCAACTGACCAACAGTGATGTAGATGATAGAATAAGAACTTTGATATCTGAAGGCGGATCAGGAACTGAAATATACAAGTTGCTCATTATATTATATATTTATTTCCCTGAATATTGGAATAAATATTTAAAGCAACAAATGGGTATTTCTCAAAAAATGTCGAAATTGTAGTCCTCGGTCTTTGCTGCTAAGTCAGATGATTTAATTATGGTTATATTTTTTTCATTTCAAATTATGTTATCCTATACTACTGTCGCTGATAAAGAAAACGTGACATTATAAATAAAAAAATAAATATAAGCAGCAGCAACTCCGAAAATCATTCCCTCATCTTGTCCCTTACTCCAAAATCCTTTACTAAAAAGTCTGTTCGTCACGAATGAAACAATATACTACTGTGGACAAAATAATGGAAGACGATGTCTTAATAATAAACCTTTTATAGCTACATTTTACATTTCTGCAAAAAAAAACCTTTAAATGTACAAAACATTTTTTTACAATATACCTGAAAATTCGACATTTGATACGAAATACCCAAATAGGAAATATATTGGATTTTTGTTGGAATAATGAGATGTAAGCCTTTCGCGAGTATTAATTTCTAATTCCTGAACTAACGCAGACGAAGTCGCGGGCGAAAACTAGTAAGTAATAAACAAAGAAAATTCCTCGAGATGATGATGTTTTGGTGAAACAGACAGACTAACTGATATATCTGTATTTTTGAGTAGACCACTGATAACTGTTTCTTGTTTTCCGGATAACTTTGACACTTTCAGAGTCCTTGTATCAGTGTCCGCTAAAACTAAAAAAAAGTATTATTTTCAATAAATTTGCATTTCCAACATTGCATAATTAATGAGATCTATGATTTTCGCGAGTACTCATTTAAATGACACTAATATTTTCGGATTTTACTTCGGACTCACATCTCGTCTGCCCGTGATCAACGTCGGGATTATGTAGTTTATAATCAAAAATAAATAGGCGAAGTAAAATTCAAAAATATTAGTTTCATTTAAATTGCATAATTAAGTTGAGGAGTTCTTAGGAGGACTTACTAGATGATCCTTTTTGTGGCACAGCCTTTACATGATAGCCTGTTATGATTCCATTGTGAGTGTCTTTAGGCGGAGGTAGCCAGGAGACGAATTAGTCTCCAGGATTGTCAGTTTGTTCAATTTGTATATTAATAGGTGTTGACGATGGAGCTGTAAATTGAGTTAAAATTATTGTTTATTTTAACACTAAAAGAATGTTGATTTAATGGTATATTACATGTAATTAATATAACTAAAAATATATATCGAGAGTTCTAAGTAAACATCAAGATTGTGTCATTAAATTTTAAAAATTTAATTTGTGATGGAATTCATGTAATTCGAGGTTTTGTTATAAATGGGTTGTAAAAGGAAATACTTGTCTTCAACTGAAATTAACATGCTAGTGATAACTTCTTATGGGAGGATAAACCGCTTCATAATATTACTAAAAAAGTTCTATTATAAGATTTAAGTAATAACCTACACAATTTATATACAAAATTTATGTATTAAATAGTTTAAATTATAACTTTTGTTGAGCGTCCCGAGGCGCACAAATGTTTTATTTTTACGAAGATCAGACGTTTTGAATGTTACTCGTTAAATTAAAAGTGTTATTGGTATATTGCATAAATTATGTTTTAAATTTAGCAGTTTAAATAGTAAATTTAATTTAAAATTAAAATAATAACTACCTTCCTCGTGTGTTGTAAAATGTACAGGCGCCGTAAAACGACTGACACCCACTTCATTACCAGTTGCTACTCGCACCGCGTAAGCCGTCGCAGGTCGGATATTCTGTAGTTCTATCGTTTGACGAATGTCGTTGCCTTTCTTTGTATATTTTTTCAAAAATACATAGGTATTATATATACATAATATATGTTATTTTTCTAGTATTAATAATCAAAACATTGATAACTTAATTTAATAATCGAAATTTGGCAGAAAGCCTTCAAAAGGTAATATTTTTTTTTGTAAAGATAACAATCTACCATACCTAAATACAATAATATATTTTAATAAAATATATATTTTTTTCTCATTATTAATTAGATGTCATTAATACAACTTATAATTCAAGTATTCTTTATACGATCATTTTCAAGTTTTTATTCTATATTCCTTTCATTATATATTAGTATAGCACCTACCTCGTAATATTAAGACTAACGGCGTATTCCCAGTCATCGGCGTAATGAGCGGGCGTGTGTTGTAATGTGTAATACTCGGCGTGTGCCCCGTCTCTCCATGAAACTGATGCTGTACGAGATCTAACTGATTCTACTCTGAGTTCGGCTGGAGGGGTGGGGGGTTCTGTTGATAACAAATATTAATATATATTATTTACGACCAACTGTGTGTAATAATTAAAGTTATGTATACGTTTTTATTAATTTGTGATATTTTTGATAGCGAACTCATGAACAGGTAAGCACTAAAATTGTCGAAACTTCAACAGATTTTTTTGTAATGTAAAGATGAAGGGAACGTTATTTCCATACTATTGGGTAGCTTAAAATTTTGAGCTTACAAAATTGTTGAATTCTTTTTAATATTTTTATTATTTAATTATTAAATTTTATCTGCTTTTTTAAATATCAGTGCAAAGTTCTTAGTTTTATTAGATTGGTGAAAGAATTCAATGTCATGTGGTGTCAAATTGCAAGGATATTCTTGACTTCCAAAAGAAAATAATTGCAGTATTTGTTAAACAACTCAACTTACCTAATATAGTAAGGAATGTGTTGAAGCTAGCTGATCCATACGGATTGCTCGCTCTACATTGATAGAAGCCAGCGTCGGCTGTTTCTGAATACTGTATATTTATGGTGCTGGTTACACCGAGCGAGGTTTTCGTCTCTGAGTGTTTTGCTCTGTGGATAATTTAACTCTTAATTGATACGATTTCTTTGAAGATTAATGAGCGATATATGTACATTTATGAAAGAGCATTTTTATTTGTTTTGATGATTAGATTTTATACTACCTACTATCATTACGACCTAGTGTTTATTGAAATTTAATGCTGCTAAAAATTCATTGAACCAAAAGTTTTTTATATTGGATTTTCATTTTATACATACTTATGTGAAATATTTTTGAATTATAGATTCTTCGATTATTTTAGACTTCTTCATCTGAAGTTATTTCCTTTTTTAGATAAAAAGCTAATGTCAAAAATTGGAACATTATGCTATACCTGTGACTTTGGAAGTCTATATTGTTTCCATTATGGTTCCATGTGATTCTGATAGGGTCATCACCAAGCGCGCGACATTCCAAAGAGACGGCGTGGCCAAGTCGTGATGTCACATTAGCTGGTGCCGTGTCAAAGTGCACTGGTTCTAAAATATTATACATACATACGTTATCTTATAAACAATAAGTAAATAGGTTAGGGTATAGGGAAAAAATTAGCGATGTTGCTCATGATTTCAAATGCTTATCAAAATTCAAAATAAAACAATTAGTTTTCAAAAATATTCTAATAAATAAAAGTAAAAATACATGAATCTGCGGTAGCTCATGATAAGGACATAGTGATTTGACGTTGGCACAATTTAATCATCACATGAAAATAAAAATCTTACTCTCTATATAAATTACATACTATTGACTGTCATCCACACGGTTTTGCTCAATGGTGTTCCAACACCATTTTCCACATAACGCGAATACAAGCCCTCGTCTGTCAAAGAAACTTCTTCAATGACAAGACTTCCGTTGGGAAGACTTAGGATTCCTCCTCCAGCTAGTTCAAGGACAGGTTGCCAAGTACCCAGAAGAGCTGGTAAAAAATGGAATATATATCAATTCACTTTAATATACCGAGATCAAATATTCCTGTTGTTTTGTACCATCTTTTTTCATCCAATGTACTTGTGGTTGTGGATAGCCGCTCGCACTGCATGATACAATGCCTTTTCTTCCGAGCAAGAGAGACGAATTTGATGGTTCTTCTAGCCATTTGGGCGCAGCTGAAACAAGGAAAAATAGTTACAAAATTCATAATTTTTATATAACTTTTACATACATAAACAAAAACAAATCTCTCAGAACAATTATTATAAAGTGCAGAATTCTCGAATATACCTTCAAATTGCTTGAAATTCTCTTTCCGTCTTTCAACCATTCGAAATGTATCTGTAAATCACCGCTTCGTAAGTTGCAATAAATATTTACTATTTGACCTTCCTGTAGGTTATTACCAAGCAGTAAATCCTCCAAAATAGGTGCCTCTATAACTTGTATTTCAAACGAACGTCTAACCATTTCAGCAGACGGTGATGTCACTATACAAGTATGTATAAACAGCACCATTATCTTCTTTATTTACTTCAGGAATTGTCAATACTCCGTGTATATTGACAATACTTCTTCTTGATTTTCTTTTCTGGTGATTTTGTGTTCTTTTATAACGTGTTTGAAAAAGATTGTTTAGGTTAACTGTTTTGCCTTTGTGTTCCCAATCGATTTTGCTATAATCAGAGAGAGATAGAATTCATTTTATTAAATATAAGTCATCGAATAGATATAAAATGTGTCTTAAATATATTTTTATCATAACATAAGTTCAAAGAAATAAACTTTTCAATTAGTTTTGGTTTAGTTTGAAAGAAACAAGAGCATAAAGCGAGTGTATCTTGTTATTAAATGACGTATTCAAATTGCTAAACGGCGTCACAATGACAGTTAGAAATTAATTACCAAAAAATAGACGGTATAAAACTCTAAGTAAGAATGAGATATAATACTTTCGTGAGTATTCATTTAAATGAAACTAATAACTTCGGATTAATAACTAACATCTCGTCTCCCTTGATCACTTTTGCCGCAAAGTAACCTAAACGTCGGAATACATAATTTTTAAATATTTATTATAAAATACTCGTAGTAATCCGAAAATATTAGTTTCATTCAAACTCTTAGTAATGCCTCATCTTAGTAAGTTTTAATAATAATTACCTTATGGGATATCCATAGAATGTACATCTGAGATTTATTGATTCACCACTCTGTGCCTTAACTGGTGGTAGTGACCGAATGTAAGGTGGACCTGAATAATACAACTAATTGGCACACAGTTTGCTAATACACAATAATAAATTAAGTGTGAAATTCTGTTAAATTTTGTATATAAATACAGAAAAGCTGATTATATTTACCATAAAAGTCCAGTCTGTTCTCACTGCTGGCTACATGTTCACCTTCTTTCGCTATACAAGCATATAATCCACCATCTTCTACTCGAACCCTTGTTATATTGAGTTGGGCTATTACGTCAAAATTATGTCAAAATATTTAATTGTCACACAATCTAGTAAGTTATGCCTATTTGTTTATATTGCAGAGAACTACGAAATATATAGAGTTTTATTTTGATGTTTAAAAGAAGTATAAAGTTTATGCTGGATATAAACTCGGAATAGCTTTAAACGATATCACTGACGCGGAATTGCATTTGGAAACGGAATGTCATGCGGTCTCTGTGTGATTGGCACGATCTTATCTAGCTAATTGGTTTTAATTTTGGGGATAAATTTCTTTGAACGATTTAAAAACTTTATGATATTTTCATGAAAAGTAATTATTCATGGATTAATTTGTTTAAACGCCAGAAAAAAAACTTTTAAAACCTAAAGTATCTTCCATCTAATAATCAAAAAATTTGAAATATTTAGCATTGACAAGAGTTATTTTCTTAAAAGTTTTTAAAATTAGATTCATACGGGGCAACTATATTGTAAATAGAACGAAATTTAGGACAAGTCAAAAGACACCTAAAAAGTATCAGATTAAAGAAATAGCTTAGAAATATGCTATACCTAGGATCTGTGTTGCTTGAAACAGTAACTCCATCTCGCTCCCAAACAAACTGAGGAGGTCTATCACCAGTGGCGGCACATTGCATACTTATCTGAAAATAAGGTAATAATAAATCAAATAGCAATAAGATATTCTATAAAAATGACCAGAAAAATTCAACATATGTAAAATCATTTTCCAATAAATAAAATATGAAAACAAAACATGACTCGCGCCAATAACATGCAACAAGCTAGGAATTTTCCTTTGAGCAGCAATTTGCTACTGATGTTGTGATTTTGACGTGGGATATTTTGAATAAATATTATATTTTTAATATTTACAATTTAGTTTGGGTTTTATGGAGAAAATGATTAAATAACTTACATCGCCACCGGGTGTAACGGTTCTCTCAGTAAAATGTTGGGTTATAACCAGCCTATTATCAGTGAGAGCTCGACGTAATCTATTTATCTAAATCTGAACAAAAATACGTTTCACATTAGAAAGAAATACGAAAATTTTTCTCTTTTTTATTCCTACATGATTTGAATATATAAAATTCTTCTATATCAGTTATGGAGATCATATTTTTATATACCAACATGCATGCGGATTTAAGTTAAGGAATCCTGTGATGTTAAAATATGGTTTCATTAAAGCAATAATTTTAACATGATGACGAGGATAATTATATGACGTTATGATGTAGCAAAATTTATTTGTAAAGAAACAGAAAGCTTCAAACTAATCCTAACTGAAGACTACGTTATTTTTCTTGGGCTTTTGTGTGTGTGATGGTATGTGTGTATGTGTGCGTTTGATGGTATTTGTGCGTGTGTGTGCGTTTCTGTTTTGTGTGTATGCATGTACATATGCACGGGCATGTGTATGCGTAATGAGTGTATATTTTGTAATTCCCACTTCAAACAAAATGCAGTTGAAAAAGGACAACTATCCCTAGCAGACACTCTATTTACGGAATGGAAATTACCATCCAAGTTGATTTGATACCAAAGCTGTTAGGTCCAATGTTATTAACAGGTTCATTAACCGTTACACGAATCTGTCCGGAATATAATTATGCTGGGTCGAATTGCAATTTGCTCTCCGTCTGGGAGACGATGTTTGGATTACAATCATTGAATTGGCCGTTTTTAACAGAAACAAAATCTTGTGCTAAATGAAAATAAGTAGCTTTTTAATTAATGTTATTCTTAATAATATATTATAGTTAATGAATTGATCAGAATACAATCGTATTGTATTGCATTGTATTCAGATTGAAGACAAGAGAAATCGGCTTAAAGATAATAATTTCTTAATATGGCAATTTTATTATATGTCACGTGATTTTTACATTATTGGTTTATATTTTAATATAATTAAACGCATTGTACGTGTAACGAACTTATAATCTTAATATATTTCATATCACTACTTAAATCTTCTATTTGGATAAAGCCTTTAATAGTTTTTTCATAAATATTATTGAATGTTGACTCTTCAACTTTTTATAATCCATAGAATGTTTTATTAACATTTAATTTCTATTGACGTATTTACAAAGCACTTTGTTGGTTGGGTAGAAAGGGGAGCTTGAACGGTGGAGATGAGCGTTCAACGCGCGTTAGATAGGGCCCTCTTAAACCTACACCTGGGTCGCAAGTCCCAGGCACTGTTGAAGCTTCTCTCACTACAACAATAGACCTGCACCCGAACGGTGAATACATTGAATGCTATGTTTCGTCTTATAATATTGTCATTATTTTCGGAACACATATAAAAACAAAAAAATTAAACACCGTTTAGGCGTTCTGATGATTATGGCTATTAAATTTAAAGACATAAAAATTGGAAATTATTTCTCTATTTAGCTTTAAAGTATTAAATCCAAATTAATTTCTAATCCTAGAATGAAATCGTTCTGCCGATAAGATCTGAACAACTAATTATATTACCAAAGTTAGCGTTTCGGTCTAATGGATTCTTGATATTAAAATAATTGATAGATAATGGTTTAACTAATCCTTCAATATGAATAATATACTTCAATATTATAAAATATTTTAATAAAATACGAAACAATTTGTATACTATATACATATATAACGCCTTATAATCTTTATATGTACATATATAAAAAAGTCGTGTTAGTTACACTATTTATAACTCAAGAACGGCTGTACGGGTTTGGCTGAAATTGCTGGAGAGATAACTTAGAACAAGGGAAAGGATATATGTAGTATACTTTCATCCTATTGAAAAAGAAAAAAAAAAGTTTATCAAATCCAAAATCTTCTTATCTACTGTCTTTAAGGTAGAATAGACTTCGCCGGTTAGCTATACATTCCTTATTCTGAAACTAACGCAGACGAAGTTGAGGGCAAAAACTAGTAAAATATAAATACTATTTACATAATACGTATATTACATTACTTAGATTACAATTATTCTTTCAGCGGTAGTATATGTATGAAATAGAAATATACAATAGATTCCAAAGTAAGATATTTCAGACGATCTTTTCAGAATAGCAAATAAATAACAGTCATAAACAATCTGTTCGTGACGCTGTCAGTATGGAGTGGCCTTTACGGTGAAGGGCGCAATATGTTCAAATAATTCCCCTTACTTTGTTTTGCGAAATATTATTCTTAATACAAATGAATATCTTTAAAATATTATTTTAAATATTATAGCAGTAAAAGTAATTTTAATAATGAGAGGCTAATTTATATTGAATAATAATAATTTACATTGAAACCTGACATTATTGAATTGAATTTATCTGATTCATTAATATTACGTATTTCATTAAGAATTGATGACCCTTTATTAATAGAATATGCTCTTTTTTGTAGTTAAAATCAGTTATAATTAGGTTTTCACTGATATATGCGAATAATACGTTGTCTGCGCTTAATCTTTCGTATTCTTGAGCGATAAAAAACATTCTACTCATTTGTACATGTTTGTGACACGATAAATAATAAAGTATAATTCAATACGATTTTCTGAAATCTTGATTCATACGACCTATTTCTTTAACAAAAGAAAAGCAGTCTATTTCATACAAAAAAATCCAAAGTCAACTGAGATAAGTCGGTTTTATACGACTGGAGTATCGCAAATAAATGGTGACTATAAATTATCTGCTGGTGACAACGGTTACATTGAGTGATCTCTATATAAAAGAATTCATTGACACATATATATTGCTTTTATAAACTTTGTATTTGTTATATTCAATATCATGTTACTGTTTATTATATACAATGTGTATGAATTCTATCTAAAAATCATAATTATATTAGTTTTTTTATTTAATATTTTCATAGTATAGGTTTTCGTTAATTTATAGTTAGTTTGTTTTCATTGTCAGCTTAAACTATTAACATTTCAAGGCTTTGTTTAGCAAATGCATTGTGTAAGAAGAATTATTTATGAGAAACTTTCAAACCGAACGTACCTAACAGACTCACGTTATTTAGTTTGACAATAGTAATTGAATCTTGAGACGGGTTAGTTCCACTTTATTTCAGATTTAACAAAGTTTATTGGTGAAAGAGAAATATGAGGATAGGCTGTTAAAAATACAGGAGTACATTCTTATTATGAGTTTTATGTTCAAAACTATAGTCAGTTTGGTAAACTACAATCAACTAAATAATAATAATGCCCACACATAATAGTGTAAGTGGTGGTGGCCTGAAGGTTAAGGGCCCGCCTCTAATGCATGAGAGTGTAGGTTCGATACCTGGCAACTACCAATGTAACTTGCGGGTTATTTATGCTTTCTAAGAGTATTGAGATACCACTGGCATGCAGTGACGGAAAAAATCGTGAGGAAACTTGGACTTATAATTTCGAATTATAAGTTTGAAATCACCATTTCTCCATTGAGAAGAGGCCTAGTTTAGTAAAGGGTTTCGAATAGTGTAAAAGCAGATTGTTTCATCTACTGTTGCAATATCAATTGTTATTAATAACCTGATGTATTTGAAATTGTTTACAATATATTCAACTTTCAAGCAAGTGGATGTGAGGGTAAGAGTTAGTGGGTCATAACAAACTAAACGTTGTAGTTAAGTAGAACCCGAACGCTTTTGTCGTCAATGTAGGTTGTGTTATCGATGCTAACCCTTTGTGATTTATCGTTTCTATGTACGAATTAATTAAATAATTCCTTTGAGTAAATTTAATTAATACCTACATATCCTCTTTATATTTTTTATTTGGATGTTTACGCATTCACAGAACATAATATATATTGTGATTTAATATAAAAATATATAATAGTGTCTAAAAATATGCCTGCAGTCTGTTTGAGGTAGAATTTCGATGTTTAAAATTATTTACAAATTTATCCGGTACTGTGAAATTCTATGCTATTACTAAATGTTTTTGAGTCATTAATAAAATCTAAGAAACACTTTTGTTAAATTGAATTTAAATAATAAAAACGATATTAAAATGGTGTAAATGAAATTTGTAACTTACGTTTTAGTGAATGTCGCTGATTTGTTCCAAATAGTGCTTTGGTTGTAGATCTGGAAAAAGAGAAAACACATTAATATATTAATTAAGGACATCTAAGTATTAATTTAAATGAAACTAATATTTTCGAGAGAATGAGTGGCTTAACTCGTCTGCCCGTGATCACGGTCGCTGTAAAATAATCGAAATGTCAGGTAATTTAGCTAATATAATTAAATAACGGGTAGTAATAAAAAAAATGAGTGCGTACAAAGTACATTGCCAGAAGTGAAATTTCGAATTCAAAGTTCAAAGCGAACTAATGTATAAATCTTGTTTATATTTATATAAATCTAAAACGTTATACGACATTCGCTCTGTCTCAATCTTTCTCATTTGCTTGCTCCCTACTCTCACACCACGGCTAGTTGCTTTATGCTACGTTCGCCCTATCTTACTCTCTCTCATGCGCCTAGAGAAGTTTCACTTCAAAATATTAGTTTCATTTAACATTATGTACTATTTGTACATAACTTCACTAAATAATACTCGTATAAAAATTTTGTTTAACATATATACTTCCCATTTTTTTACCTCGTCTCATACTTTACAGCATGTATGTATTTACATAAC